TCAAATAGATTAAATCAAGTTTTTTTGACGTATTGATCAATAAAATCGGTCTAATGAGTAATGAGAATTACAAAGTATATTATAACTTAGAGTCCAACGATTTTTTAAAACAATATAATAGAGTTCACTTGTTCACCATTCTTGACTATAGAAACTAATTTAAAAAAATAGGAAAGTAAGTCTGTTAATGCCGTTCTACCTAGTCGCAGCCAATTTACGAATTTTAATAACAATTTTTTACTTGATAAGTAAATTTTGATTCATTTGTCTTTTTAAATAATTTAAATATAGCTATTATATATTGTTTTTCGATTAAATTAGAAAGGTACACGAATTAAATGAAAGTTGAAATATAAAATGTATAGGAATTGCTATACAATGGTAGTCGTGTACCAGCCTATTCCAATTTCACCTATGGATATATCAAAATAACGAAAATCAAGTAGTTCAGGTATTAAAGATTTGAAATTATTGGTTTTCAAATTTTTCGTTACAGATATAGAATAAGTTTAGAATGTTTATCATTATAATACATATTTACAAGAATTGTAATTTCCAAAACATTAAAACATGAAAATCCAATTATTTTTTTATAGAACTCAAATTTTAAGTATAACGATTAGGGATAGGATTTATATGTAATTAAAAATTGTGAAATATGCATTTTATTTACCGAAATATGTAGGAATATGTACAAAACATTTTATTTCTACAAAACATTAAAAAATTTTAACAATAATATAGAAATTTATTATTAATTATTAATTAAATTATAACTTATATAGATTATCTTATATTAGTACCTAATTATTACTACAGACACTGAGTATAACGTGCTGTAATAGTGTGTTGTTCAAATTTCCAAATACGAACAATTGGCGGTTGAAACAAAGAACGGATTTGTATTGACTAAAACGGCTTTTCACATTATAGGATGTTATTAGAGCATATTTAAATGACGCGATTTGTGCCAGTGTTACAATCATATTAACACATTTTTTTTTCATTTCACATTCACCATTAATCATATTACGAATTATTAAGACTTTTTTGTGTAATATTATGTTATCACTTATAATATGAATATGTAATATGATGTTATAATTTGTAAATATATATCACATATGAATTTACATGATCAACAAAACTGGGTTTTCTTTTTTTAAAACACAAAATAACCAATTAACTAGGGAATAAAATGTGAATAATGTACAGATTTAAAGTAACTCCAATATGCAGATTCTCAACTAACTCTAGCCAATCGCTTTCAACAATTAATTAAGATCTCCAACTTCCAAGATCACACTAAAGATTGCTAAATTACCCTCCTCTGATTATAAAAACCCATTTTTTCCTAATAAATCAGTTCTTTCAGTAATTTCAAAATATATAAAATCTGCGACACTCTACTCAAGATTCTCACTCCCTGGGACATATTTTTTTTTTAAATTTAATTTGAATATTTTTCAATTTAAAAACACTTTTATAATAAACTCAAACTAACTTTACATATTCATTTAATGATAATAATCAGTGTGAGCTTTTCTTACTGGGTAGATGGTCTCGTTACAAATGTCTTTTTTCTAACGAATATCGCGCCGGCAGACAGAGTAAAGTTTGCAATTAGAGATGTTATTCTAGTGTATTCGGTTAGAATATATTTGTAGGCCTATGTGTATTGGGTAGCTAGTCATTGAGGTTAATATATTTGTTTTAACGAACATCGCGCCAGCAGACAACGCAAAAAAACTTGCGGAGATATTTTTAGTGTTTAAATTTTGTCTTGGTGATTATTGTGCAATGTCCTGTCAAGGCGTCAGCACCGGGACCACATTGGGCCACCACAATACCGCCTTGATAAAATTTTTAAATAGATACAAATATTTTTGAAATTTGGTTTGATCGTGCCAGCAGAAGTCTTGAAAAATATTGATGTCGATCTCTCAATAAAATATACTCTCTCAAATGGGTAATTTTTTAACAAAAATGAAATAAGAGTATATTATTAAAATTATATTTATAATAAAAATATAGTGCTTAGAATCTTTTACATATAAAAACCAGTCGTAGATTTTGTATAATGAAAACGTATTATTTAAAATTATAACAAGTTTTATTAATGAAAAATTTTTAATCTGTATTTTATATTACTTTTATACAAACAAATAATTAATTTATCTGACATAACATTTAAACTAGTTATTATACATGTATATACGTGTTAAATTGATTATTGTACGACGTGTGTTCAGAAAATAACGGCAATTTTTAAATTTCGCGAGTTTGGAGAGTACGATTATCAACATTTTTTCTGCCATGAGTAAAACAAGGGTTTACGTGTAACAAAAAAGTTTCCAAGATGACGAACACTCCAATGCATTAATTATTGATTAAAACATGGAAAAAGTGAAAGAAATGGCTATGAACGATCGCCGAATCCAATTAGAGAAGTCGTCTATGATGTTCGAATATCGATTGGGTCATGTTATGAAATTTTGTGTTTTGGGTATGAAACGCGTAGCATCAAAATTTGTTTCAAAATTGTCGAATTTTGAACAAAAACAGCGGCGAATGGAAGTTGCTCAGGAATCAATTAATGATGTCAACAACGATGCAGAATTACTGAAATGTGTTATGACAAGTGATGGAACATGGATTTATAGACACAACGTCGAAACTAAGGCTCAATCGTCCCAGTGAAGGCATTCTGGATCGCCAAGACCGAAAAAGGATCGATATGTGCGATCGAACGTGAACGTTATGATCATTGTGTTCTTCGATTTTAATAGCATAGTACATCATAAATTCTCGCCACGAGGTCAAATGGGCAATAAGGAGTATTACCTATAAGTTCAATGCTGTTTGCGTGAAACAATCCGAAAAAAAAACGCACAGATTTGTGGCAAAACACCCTATAGAATCTCGTTACTCACGAATTGACTAAATCTCCAAATATCCAAACTTGGTTAATATGGCATACATACACCTGCATATACGCTTATTTTTTATATTGTTGTACCCTCCACAAACAAACTATTATTCTGATAAATGTTTATGTTTATTTTATTTATTTCACAATTTCCTTAGATATTCAGCCACCGTTTGCTTAGCTCTCTAAAACCTACTTTTTATTTATAATATTTTATTCGTCTTTACACCCTATCATATACCATTTAACTCTTCTCTTTATTGTTTGGTTTATTACATTTGAATACCTTATTTTAATATCAATTCCATTTTATTTTTTATCAATTTTACTACTTACCCGTTATATTTAGATAATTTATCTTTCAGATTTAAAATAATTTTTAAGACCTCATCAAGATATAGTGTATATTTTACTAGATACTTACCTAGTAATAAATTGTTTCGACAAAAAAAAAAAAATTACATTAAGTAACTCAAATATTTTAAAATGTTCGAATATTTTTGTTGGTTTTTAATTGATTCTGCTTCGTTGTCTAAATGTAATATTACTGGATTTATTGCATCGAATTTAATTGAATAATATACTACTGCATTTGTCCATGTTCCTCATCTTGTTGTTATTGGTTGGGGTGGTTAAGTCAAATCCGGAAATAATTCACTTAGTTTGATAATTCTGCTGGGAACTTTTAAAAATATTTTTTTAGTTGCCGCTATTAATTTATATTCAGTAAAATATCCATTTCATATACATTCGCTAATTCTATGAACCCATGAACCAAAAATATTGAATTGAATTAACTCGGAAATGACATAATTAATATATCAGCAGATTTAACTACAAATGGAGCAACATCAGAAACAAAAAATAATATTTCATCATATTTTACCTCCGACAGGCACAATAAGTGCATGGTACCCTTAAATATTTTGCCAATAGTTTGGTAATTATATTAATAGATAAGGCATAGAATGGTTTTCCTCGTGTAGTATTTCAATTATGATGTTACATATATATCGACTCGTTACGTCCGTTGACTCATCTATTGAATCCCAAATTGGCCCAAAATTAATTTCCAAACGAATATAAGAAATAATGTATTCATTAGTTGAGGAAACATAATCTTTGTGAATAATAGACTCATCTCATTTAACAACATATTAAAAAAAAAAAAATATTTAATGATGGATGACAATTTATTAAGGTATATCAGATTCTAACATTGCCTAACATAAAACTAGAGGAAACATTGCCTTTTATTTAAATTTTCTAATGAATTTTTGATGAATGATAGTTTTGATTTAGCTTTAATTGTTTTTTATGCTTGCTTGTATTTAGATATCATTTTACCTAGATACATTTTGTTGCTGGCATAATTTGATCACAAATTAAACACTATAATATTTACCATATTTGCTGGAAACAACATTGTCGACAAATTAATATAACTAAGCACTTTTTTATTTTGAACTTTTGACATACTTTTAGTATAACTTTTGCTATTGTGTATGAAACTATTTAAATTATTATTTTATTATGTGAAATTAATTAATATGTATAGTCAGTATAATTTTGCAATTATAAGTGAGAAAATGCTGAACTTTGGCGTATTAACATTAAAATGCAGTATTCAGGTATTTTGATTACATAGATATATGAGTTATAGATATGTATATATACTCTGTAAATGGCTGCTCTGTTTATAACATCTATGACTATATTAAATAAATCAAATTTAACTTAACTACACGTATGTTATCAATTTACAATTTTTTTTGCAAAATACTTTTAACTACTTGTCAAATTATTTCTATAAACTTTAAAAGCACATAGATGAAAATAATTTTTTTTTTCAAATGCTTAATAGTTCAATTACAAACAACAATCAGAGATTTAATAATGTTTATATTTGGACAAATAAAGTTTGATAGTATACGCAATATGTCTAGTAACACATGTCAATGAGTGGAATTTTTAAAATTTTTGAAAAATTAAACAACAATAATAATTATCTAAAATCTCTCTTATCAATTAGAAACTTGATATGTGAAACTTCAATAAATACAAAAGAAAATAGTATTGAAATATTGTACTTATTTATTTTTAAAATAATGGAATTGTCAATAAATTTGTGATATCATATTTTTTATAATATACATTAATAAGTCTTGAGTTACTCCTTAGGTATGAAAGTGATTATGATAATATTAATTCATGATTTTTGGTGGTCCACTTAATTGCGTTTTAATTTTTATTGTGACGTGACATTTTTTTCTGTAAAAAATTAAAAAACAGGTTATATATTATTAATTTATTGTGTAACTGATCCAATTATTGCACTTAGCAATGTAAACTGAAAAAAAGGGGTATCGTTTAGTTTTTCCCTTATAATTAATTGCATTGTACAGTCATCCATTGAATAGCAAGTCTGGGCAAGTTAACGACTTTTAGTAACTATCCAAAATTAAATTAATTGAAAATGTTTAACTAGTTAATAGTTTAAGTTAATACGTTATTTTTTGAAATAAATTAATTTAAAATTTAAATTAACAAAATATACATTAAATTAACGAGTTCAGTTAATGCATGTGGTAGTAGGTTTGTAAAAATATTATAATCCGTATCATGATTATAGATAAGACTTATCTATAATCGTGTCTTTTGTGTATAATACGTCATCAAGTTATCACATAACTATCATTTTGAAATATGTGAAATTCTCAAAGATTTCCCTGAGATAAATCTGTGTCGCTTAATGCCTAGTTTAGTAATATTAGTGTATGCGAAATTTTAAGAATATTTTCTCATGTAAATTACCACATTATCACTAAGTAATAATGCATATTAGATGCCCAATACATCTACAAAAAGTTACTCAATTAGTCTATATTTATTTTATTGTATTGAAATTTTTATAATTTCATTTAATGCATTCACGTATACGTTTCTAAGGAGCGAAGTGACATAATTTACTTAATGCCATTAATGTATTTTTAACTCTGCTCAATATCACATAAGTAAAAATGTGCTCTTATTTTGAGGGTAAAATCAGGTATTACATCGATTTCGACTTCATCTCTATGCACACAAGGTTTTTGTAGGGAGATAAAGGTGTATTCGAAGGGATAATTCCATGCTAATAATTCAGCTTCCTGAAAATTACATGTCAGGAAAATTTAACGCTGGATAATTCAACGCTAGATATATTTTATTAAAAGACTAGGTTGTTAATGGAATAAAAAAAAAAACTTCAATGATTTTGTAATATACAGAGTGATCGGTTTATCACAAACTACTCGATTAGTCGCAAAATAAATACAATATTTGAAGGATACATTTTTATTAATTTATTGTAAGTTTGTTACTACTTTTTATCAGTCTCACTGGACCTATTATTCTTAATATTACGCCAAAATATTACGAATTTGATATAATTGAAGACATTCCGTCAAAAGTTCATAATTTTCCTTCATGTACTGTAAATGGTAAAAATCGGTAAATTTCGATTATTTTTTAATTCAAACTGACATAACTAATTAAAAGGGGAAAATTCAATAAAGAAACTACTGCACAAAAAGTTAAAAAAATATTTCTCCCAACATCTTGTCTTCTATGCACAAATGGCCATAACATAGTTAAAAACGGTAGCACAGTGGGGTCGTGGCACAGTGTGGACGAGGCATAGAAGGGACAAGTGTAGATCTTACAGTGATTAAAATCACTATCATTAGAATTGCTTCGATGAAAATCTGTAGAGTGTTTAATTTTAAAATTTTAATTTATTATTACAAAAGCTACATGATCTCCTATTTACTTAATTATATCCTAGATACAAGTTATATGCATTACTAGTGCAAATTATATTAATAATTATTATAAAAATTATATTAAATAGATTATTTCAAAAGCAATCATAACTTTTATTCCCTTAATTTTATCCCGATTTATAATTATAATATATGAATACATAATAATTATAGTAATTAAATTTAGTATGAAATTGTTATTCAACAATATAATATTGTAATTTTTACGGATATATTATAAAAATAAAAAGGAGATGTATATTCATATACTTTTAACGAGTATAAAAATTTAAAGGGATTGATGCAATACTCTTTAATAAAAAAATTTTGTTACTAATGAATAAATACTTGACTACAAGGAACTTTCATTGGAAACAAAAATATACTTTTCTAAATAAACTTTTCACGATGTTTTCAAATGTGCAATTAATCTTTTCCTATTACTTCTAAGTTTTAATATTATTACTTATTATTAAAAAATAAAAAAGCCAGTACAGGGAGGTCGCGGCATAGTGGTGACGTGGCATAGTTGGATCAAGTATAATGATTTCTGACAGTGATTAAAATCACTTTTTTTTTTGCATAATAAAGTACATTACATTAGCTTTAATTTAAGATATATATAAAAGTGTCAGTATTTCGGGAACATTTTTAAAAATTAAGTTGAAAAAGTTGTCATTTTAAATCCTCCCTGTAGGCAGGTAAAAGGTCAAATATATAAAAATAATTTACCATATTATGCATTTTTAAAAAGAAAATTATATTGATTTGTTCATTTTTGAAAAAGTTATGGCAGTTTTAAGTAAAAAAAATTTCGAAAATTTCGAAAATTAGCGATTTTTAAATTTGTAATTTTTTTACAGGTTTCCCCCATTTACGGGGAACGATGGAAATTTTTTCAATTTTTGAGGTTAATGTCTTCGACTAGATACGATTTGTGATTTTTTGACGTATCATTGAAAGAAATCGGTTTATTGAGAGCTGAGAAAAAGTGGTAACAGACACAAAAAAAAAACACAACATAGTAAAATTAATACCTTCTCAGCTTCGCATCGAAGCTAATATTTACATATAAAAAAAAAAGTAATTAAGAAAAAAAAAATTGTTTTAAATTAATACTGATTTTGATTATTAATATATTAAAAATAAGGAAAATTACATATTTAACCTATTTTTTTAATAATTTAATGTCGATTTTTGTGAATGTTTATAATAAAAAAAAAATTTATTTATTGAAATATGTATGTTGCTATTAAAAAAAATAAGTTGTTATTCCCTAATAAGAGATAAATTTAAAAAAAACTTAATAACTATTTAATAGTGAAATATATAAAATTAAAAATACTAAATTTAATTTTCTTATATATGTTATTGAATAAAATTATTGTTTATTTGTGAACGGTAGGGTAACAGTAGTGGTGTCATCGGCATACGAGTCAGTCGTTCGTGGGAACCGAAGATCTTCGTGGGCACTGCGTCATCAGGTGTTGTTTATTTTGTTCGTTTAGCAAAATTAATAATTTGTTGTATAACAACATAATAACAGTTAACATATTGTAATTCAGTGAACATTGCAAGTCGTTTTATGACACATTATTTTACAGTTTATCTTCCTGAATTATAAATCAGTTAACTTATAATTATTTATATTTTTAATACATTTTTCTTTCAGTGATTCAGTGATTTAATATTTTTCTACAAAACACATATCGCGCCTGGCGTTGTCGGGTATTCCTACGGGAATCAGTGGTGTACTTATGAAGACGGCCCGAAGAGGCTTACGAGCCAAAGGCGTTTCGAGCGAAGCCCCCAACTAGGCAAAGCCTAGTATATATATACATTTTTTTTAAATTTATTTATATACAACCAATATACAGGGTGGCCCACCACTCACTGACAACTTAAATAACTTTTGATCCAGTAAATATTTTTAGCTGATTTTTTTTTTAAATATTAGTTAGACGTTAGGTCTATAGCTATATCTCAATAATTAATTTTTTTACATTTTATTAAAAATATTAATTATTTTAAAATTTTAAATAAAAAGTAAAAAAAAAATCTAAGATAGCTATTTTGTAGAGTAGAATTTAAGAAAAATTTTAGTAAAAAAATATCTTATTAATATTCAGTAGTAAATATTCTGTAGCGTTTTGAAGTTTGTAAAAATTTGAATTTTCATGTACTATTTTACGGTTATAAACATTGAAATACGTATTGAGAAAAGGACAGAAGAAAACGCTATCTTTTCATGATTACTGTGTATACATATGATGATAGTGTGTATACATTACAAACTTGGCATAAATACCATGATAAGAAATTAGATAAGGCAATTATTACTTATCACTCTCATTCAAAAGTATATTGAAAAGATAGCGTTTTCTTCTGTCCTTTTCTCAATACGTATTTCAATGTTTAATACCGTAAAATAGTACATGAAAATTCAAATTTTCACAAACTTCAAAACGCTACAGAATATTTACTACTGAATATTAATAAGATATTTTTTTACTAAAATTTTTCTTAAATTCTACTCTACAAAATAGCTATCTTAGATTTTTTTTTTACATTTTATTTAAAATTTAAAAATAATTAATATTTTTAATAAAATGTAAAAAAATTAATTATTGAGATATAGCTATAGACCTAACGTATAACTATTATTTAAAAAAAAAATCAACTAAAAATATTAACTGGATCAAAAGTTATTTAAGTTGTCAGTGAGTGGTGGGCCACCCTGTATAAATAATAGTAAAATGTATTTATTGTGTATTTTTAATTGTTAATTTAATATAATTTTTTTCTAAATTATAACAAAAAATTATCCATTTTGACATTATAATTCCTGAAAAATAAACTTAAAAACCTAATTTCAACGAATTTTAACTACTAAGGGTAGTAGTTCCAAAAGAAAGTTACTGGTGACCATGTAATAAGATAAAAGGCTACTATTTAGCGCAAGTGTTATTCAATTACATTATTTTGTAATCCGTAATATGGTAAAAATTTTTTTTAAATAAAATTATACTTCATTAAAGAGTTTTTATGAGGTTTCCTCTAAAAAGGCTTCAATAGAACTTCTGATAATTTGTAGACAATTTTTTTACATTGGTTTAATTCAATTTATTATTTAAGTTTTAATTAATGCTTTTCGTAATACGTATATACGTTGATTTTTTTTTTAATGCTTTTTAGTGGTGTTTGGTTAATTTTATTTGTTTTTAATTTACATTACTTTTTCCCAATAAACTTTTAAGTCTTTTCAATTGATAACTCAAATGTGTTGGCGTCAAGCAAGTTGGGCAATTGGAAAGTGATTTTTTTAAATCTCTACAACATTTTTCACAAAATTGATGTTTACAATTCCTGGAAAATTTTATTAATTTTTTTTCTTCTATGCATATTGAGCAAATTTTTGTGTCTGAAATAATGTTAATGCGAGTATTGATTAATTATATGAATTATGCTTAAGTGGAATGAATTAATCAAATAATTAATTTAGATTGAGTACATAACATAAATTTTTAACTTCAATGTGTAGCTGGAAATTATAGGTTGGTCAAACTAATAATTCAAAACATTCTGCTGATAGAATGGGCTGACACTACCAAAGTAAGAAGGAGGATTGAAGAGAAATTGGGTAGGGGTTAATCATCAAGTTAATTAGGATATTTTAAAAAACTTTAGTCCGTTAACTTATGTGTAATTAAAGATATTAATTATTGCCATTTTTACATAGTAACGTTATACGTAAGTAACAATTTGAGTTTATTGAAAATTGTCAATAGTTTCTAAGAAAATGAGTTTCTATCCAAAATCAATCATTCTGTAGTTTAATCCTCGATTAAACAAATATTTATTTAATAAAAAAATTGTCTTAGTAAAATTCATCAACTTTATTGTAAATAGCACCATCTATTCTTTTTTTCAAGTGACAAAATTATTATTTTTAATTTCAATTTCAAAATCAGAAAATTTTGTTATGATTATTTTTAGCTTCGATGCGAAGCGGAGAAGGTATTAATTTTACTATGATGT